CAAAATGCAGAAAGGCAGATTAGTTAATTGGGCTACCACTCACTTCTACCTAAGTAGCATGGATAATAAAAATTTTGGCTTATTTTCAGGGCCAAGGGGTAGACCAGATACAGGTTACCTTCCTGATTTTCCAGAAAGCTGAAAACAGATAGCTTTCTGGGATGGAGTCAAAAGATCTAGGCCAGTTGTGAGCGGGGGAACAGATATAAACATAACTTAATTGCACAATTGGCTTTGGAATTAGATAATAGGCCAGACGAGGATCAATCAACCAACACTGCCTCTTTTCTAAATATTCCAATGAAAGACATCTATTCCATAGATATTCCTATGTAAAGGAAAGAGAGATGTAGGAAGTAACATGTATACTGTCTTTCTGACGTATTTGCACCTAGAAAGAACCACTGAGTTGTGGGGCAGTAGTATAAGAAAAATCAAAGTCTGAGCGGAGCAACAAGTTTTTAAAAATGTCTCTGTAGATTTCTGAGTGACAAAGATATATCCTATATATATGAATATAAAGAAATATACATACACACACACATACACATATCCCATGATGAGGAGGCCACTATTTTGTTTGTTCCTGCTGATTATATTACAGATATAATGAAACATATGAGTGCGAAGGTTGTGCATACCAGCAAATAGCATTACATTCCTTTATTGCTGTGCTTTACACTGGTTGTCTGTAATAAGTTGATGATGTTAATTTTTTAGTTGAATGTTGTTGGTATTTCAACAGCTCATTTGCCTGTTTCCCCCTTTGCTCTCTGAAAATGCTCTTGGCAAAGTTAACATGACAGACGTCTTCCTTCCTGGACCTTAAATTGGGCCAAATGCCCCAATTTAATGTTTAATGCAGCCCTCTTCAGTGGACAAAATTGAAGACTCTACACACTAGAGAAGTGCAACTAGATTTGCTGAAAACTGTTGTGGATTCCTGCTTTGAACAAACTCAGACAATAGTTACACACATTTAAAGGAAGAAAATCTTCACTAAGATGAGAAAGAATGAGTGTCTTAGAACTCAAACATTGAAATCATGGTTTAGACCTTGAAATCCTGTTCATTTTTATTGTTTTCTTACAAAAGTTATTATGCAATGTGCAATCTTGAGGCTCTTACCTGGAATACCCAAGTTATAGCCAGTAGTGAAGTTTGCTTTAAACCCTCTTCCTGTCACAGTGGTGTCGGTTATTAAAAGCACAGCCATTCTATTGGTGGTAGAGAACACATCCTCTACTGGACCAGGCCCTGTGTACACAGCTGTTCCAAAGGAAAATTAGATAATCAAGGAGATGATCTCTTGACTTTACAAGGAAATATACCCCTTATTTCAGTTTCATCTTCCAGATGTAGGGTTACCTGCTGCATGGCTTGCTCATGAAGCAGCCACAAGTAAATAAATGTGTACATTCTTTTACATTTTGACACTGCTTCAACAAAGGAAACTTCTTTATTGATCTTCTTTTTATATTGCCTGCAGTTTCTGCAGTTCTGTAATTTAACAATGAATTACTCATAGTATTATCTGGCTTAGCACGCCTACTATTCAAGGGTCATGTTATCCCAGAGAAACAACTGATTACTTTTAAAACCTTTATATTAAGAAAATAATGCAGATTATAGTCTCCTTTATAAATTTTTGACCAAATTTATTTGGTATGTTTTGTTAGTTGAATGATAAACCTAATCTGAAGGATGTATTAATTAGAGATAGGTAATATAAACCTACAAGGTGGTTTTCAAATGTTTTACCACTAATCTCTGGGCTTGGGGATTTCATAAACAATGAAATACTCTTTATTAAATAATACTTCAGCTAATTAAAATATACATTTAGGCTGGCCACAGTGGCTCACACCCATAATCCTAGCACTTTGGGAGGCCTAGGTGGGAGGATCGCTTGAGGCCAGGAGTTCCAGACCAGTCTAAGCAAGAGCAAGACCCCATCTCTACAAAAAATAGAAAAATTAGCTGGG